CTGGGTGATAATTCTATCCGAGTGCAGCTTCCTAGTTTCGCATTCCTCTCAGTTTCCCCTTTTGTTGTCTCCTCATCACTCTACATCGCGCACACACACACACACACAGTCGATGTACTTTGTACATTTCCCAGACGAATCTATCTCTGATCTATTCTCACAGAGGAAGCTTGCATGTGAATTTCTAAAAATGAGCTCGCAGCAGCTGGATGAAAACCTCGTATCTCCACGCAGTCTGTGCGGTGGCCTCATTTTTCTGATGCTGATGAGCTGTTGACATTTCAGTGTGGACCGAGTTCTGTTGGGCAGGGGAGTCATTAACGAGATCCAACTCGTGTGTGTGTGCGGCGTGTGTTCTAAACTTGTGTGAGTGCGTGCGCAAGGTCAGGTTCATTCTAATTGCCTTCAGCATTCGGAAATGCAGATGATTGGTGATACGGTGACACTTACGGAGCACACGGAGGGGGTAACCATGGTAACTGTGTGTGTGTGTGTGTGTGTCCTGGATACATGTACAGGTGTGCAGAAGTTTGCCTGCCAACTACTTGTTTGTTACTATGAGATGCACTCGTAAATGACATATTAATCAAATAACGTGTGATAATTATCCACATCCTTATGCATTTTTAATTACTTTACATAGAGACTGTCCAGTGAACGCTTGTCTCATCAGCAGTTGTCAAATGCAAAAAAAAAAAACATCTGTTTGAAACAACATTTAGACTAGTGATGAGGTATAATATCATTACATTGTTTTATAACCACTTTTATATTTCTGTAGAACTTGCTTTAATGAAACGATACTGCAAACTGTTTTTATGACAATGACTGCAGAGCAAATGAGCTACAAGCCAAATTAAACAGTAAGCATAGGTACAGTGTGACTATGGCATTGGTCGGCAACCTTAAACACTCATAGAGCCATTTGGATCAGTTTTCCATGGAAAAGAAAACACCAGGAGCCACAAAACCCTTTTGACATCTAAAATGAAGATGACACTGTATATATTGTTTTTACCTTTATGCTATGTATATAAAAAAAAAAGCTATAGTGTGTTGCATTTATGAAATCAATGAACTGCTACAGAGAAAACAATATGTTATCTCTGTATGCAACAAAAACATTTTGAACTCCAAAAGGGTTCAAGGTTGAAGGTCATTTTGAAATAAAATACTCAATGTCTATTTGAGTCCTCCTGCCGATCTTAAATTATCCACCTGCAGCAAAGTAAAAATGATGTCTAGGTGGCCCGCTGACTGCAGCTGGGACTGCTGACCAGACTCCTGACCGGCTGTGGGACGAGGAGAAGCTCCCAGCAGCACCGCGTCAGTCTCCAAAACACCAGAAAAGTCTCCAGTAACACCAGAAAGAGTCACTGGATTTGTCGCTAGTCGCTTTTGACAAAAAAAAAGTCACCAAGAGGTTTTGGAAAGTCGCCAGATTTCGCGAGAAAGTCACAAAGTTGGTAACACTGCGCATGCCGGCAGGTGTCACACATCAGTGGTTGTGACACACGTTTTGAGTGACAGAAAAAAAATTATTTTACTGTTACAAGTTCACAAAAATCTTCAAATTTAGAATTACATTTTAAAAATTAATGAGCTAAAATAAATTACATTTAAATGAAAATACTTGTTATTTGCTTTCCAAAGCCACAAGGAGCCGCGGGTTGCCGACCCCTGTTCCAGCCTTTTGAAGGGATGCAGCATCTTTGAAAAAGTGACCTTTGACCTGTAGTGGACCTGTTTTTGCACTTATTGATCCTGAAATCTGATCATTGTGAGGAGAGGCCATTCCTAGCTCACCTATAAAATGTAAACTTTTTAGACCTCAGGACTCGAGCTAGAATCCGTTCACAGGCAGATGGGACCGATTAGTCTGATAG